GGGTGGCTCAGTACTTCAGGCCAGAGCCCTGGGTTGGCTGCCTCAGTAATAGTGTCCTGTTATCTGAGGGATCTGCCAGGGCTGCAGCCTTGAGCCTGCTGGTAGCTGAGGACTTTGCTCTACACCCTGTAGTGAGGCAAAGGCCAGAGGCCAAGGAATGCAAAGATTAGGACTGGAGTAAGGTGGAGAGGAAAGCTCTCGTGTCCATAGCTGCCTCAGGCCACGGACTCCGGTTCTGACGCAGAGACGACGGAGCGCAGACTTTGAGATGGTCCTTAAGGAGGAGTCCAAGCTCTCAGAGCCCAGGCTGTCAGCCAGTCCTAGTTCTGCTGGTGCAACTGGATGCTGGGCACCTCTGGCATCACGGCACGCTTCCCTGGCCCAGCGGCACCACCACCTTGTCCAGCCAGAGCAGGGTGTGCTGGGCCGAGCGCAGCTGCCGGCGGTGGATGCGGCGCAGCCGCAGGAGGTAGAGGACAATGGCCAGCGCCACAACCAGGATGCAGGCAAAGAACAGATAGTGGTTGTAGACGAAAGAGAGGCGCAGCCAGGAGGGGTGTGCTTGCCGGATGCTCTCCTGACGGAGATCCCTGTGGAGAGGAACATCACGACTGGCCACGAGATGCAGTGAGGCACCGCCAGGGTCCATGCAGAGCCCTCACCCAGTGCCAGTTAGTGCTGCTCCTCCCCTGCCACCCTCCCCTGTGTGACACCAGCCAATGGTACCTGAGCGGCAGAAATCGCGTCTTGTAGAGGATGGCTCCCAGGGTCCACTGCACCTCCCGGTCGTACACCAGCTGGGCTGTGCGCAGGCTGGGGTAGTCCACTGGGAACTGGAAGCCGTCGTGAAGGACTTTGTACATCCAGGCTGATTTGAAGCACTGATACCTGCAGACACAGCGCACAGGCATCAGCCAGACACTAACAGCTGCAGCAGTGCCCTACCCCAGCAAAAGGCCCCCAGGAGGGCCAGCCATGGCCCCTCCCAGCCAGCCCATTTACTTCAGCCGGTGCTGGTCAGCGTGCGCCGAGTAGAGGCCACCACGGAAACGCTGAGTCAGCACCTCCCATCGCTGGCTGCAGTACTCCTGTGGGAAGGAGAAACTGGGGTTCAGAGCACAGAAACCGCCCTCACTCCCAGCCCCACGAGCAGCCCAGCTGCCCTGGGCTGAGGCAGCACCCACCTGGGCAGCAGAGGTGAAGGTGAGGGCACTGTACTGGCCCCCCAGGCGCAGCACGTCCTCGGTGCAGTAGAAGAACTCTGAGAAGCCGTAAAACTCGCTGTTGCTGAAGTCGATGGGTGCTTTGTAGGTCTCCACCAGGGAGACATGGCTGCCATTGGACCCTGCTAGGAGGGGCTGCAGCAGCTTTGCACAGGCCTGCCAGTCCCCTCGTCCCCTGATGTACAGGGTTTGGCCACCCCTCACCACCGTGTCCTCCAGCCCCACAGGCAGGCAGGGGTCCAAGAAGGGCATCTTGGGGCTCAGCCCTGTCTGCTGGTTGTGCAGGCTGGAAAACAGTCCAGGAAAAAATGGCAATTGCACAGGGGGTCCTATACCACCTCCTAAAAGCCTAATCTAGCCCTGTCCCTCATCCAGATACCCTCTGCACCAGACCAGGCTGTGTCCTCTTGTACCCTGCAGAGCTGGTGCCTGCCCTGCCACCTCCTGCTAAGGCTGAAATCACCAGATCTGTCACACTGGCCTGCAGCTACGTGCTCTGAGCACCTGTAGGGTGCAACAAGGCACGGCCCACCCCACCCAGCTCATGGGCATCTGTGCCTCTGCACAGCCCCGGGGGATCTGGAGGCAGGGGCTGCTCCTGGCACAGGAGTACCTGGGCACCAAGCCTCCACCTCTGGCGACAGCTTCATGTAGTGCTCTTGGAAGGAAAGGAGAGACAGGAGACAGGAGAGCTCAAGGTGGGGATGCAATGGAAAGATGTGCTGAGTGAATCGGTGCTGGAGGAGGGGAAGTCAGAGCAGGAAAAGCCAAAAGCCACTAGGAGAGGCCTCCCTGTAGCCTGTCACAAGGAGAGAAGGAGGAAGGCAGGGAGCTGTGGCACTGATAACGCCTGCCAGGCTTGGAGAACAGCAGCAGCCAAGCCCTCTGTGCCAGCCCAGGCACCAGCTGCTGCCAGCGTGGCTGTGGGAGCTGTTATCACCACAGGCAGCTCGTGAGGCAAATCCAAGGGGGAGAGCACAGCATGGAGGAACCAGCACCCTGTTTCTCAAGGCTCTAGTGGGGGCACCACTAGGTGAGGCAGCAATACCGGTTGTGCACATAGGTTTGGTTCAGCATGTGCTCCTCATAGCGCTGCCGGGCAAAATTGCCCCCGAAGCCCAGGAAAGTGTTGACGTAGACACGGTACATGTGGCCAGTGTGCTGCACGTCACAGCCCAGGTTGAATTCTGCCAGCAAGCTCTTAGCAGCCTCGTCCTGCTGACACAGATAGGTCCATGATCAGCAGCAGTCCAGGGAAGGCAGGAGCTGCTCTCGGGGACCGGACACGCACCTGCTGTGGGGAGGAGATGGCTCCGGAGTCGGGCACCTCGTAGGCAATCTGCAGCGAGGCTCCTCCCATGTCGAGGATCCCAACTGTTCGTTTCCGAACCAGGGGCTTCCCCTGGTCCCCAAGTTCTACGGTGACCACTGCATCCTCCTCTGCAACCCACAGCAGCATGTCAGCAAGAGGCAGGGCCTGGGGCAGCATCTTCTCCCTTCCATCATCACCCCACAGCTGCCTCATAGGGCTCCTCCCCCCCTGCAGGCAGATCCCAAGGGCCACCTGCAAGGATCAGCTCCCAGCTCCAGGAAAGTTTCACACTTATGACAGGAGTCGGGCATGCTGCCTACTCCAGAGGTTGATCTTAGCTACAGCACTGGTACAAACTCCAGTACGCTCTGCTTAGACCCTCCCAGCTGTTCTACAAGCAGCCAGACTCACCATCCTCGTGATCAAACCGTCCCAGGACAAAGTTGATGCCAATCCACGCGTAGACACCTGCGCAAGACAGAAAAGGTCATTACAACAACATACCAAAGAGGAACAAGCAGTGCTTTGTGGCTGCTCCTACCTTCCTGCTTCCCTGAGATCACTTCTGCGTGTGATTTGGAGAAGAGGAAATCAAACTCCAGGGGCACATTTGTCACCAAGTCTTCCAGGATTGCAGCTTGCTGCCTGCAAGGTTGCAGGAGAGGGACAGATGCTGATGCTGGTGGAGACACCAGGAATCACACCGCACTACATCCCTGTTCAACCCCACAAGTCCTGCTGCTGCAGCCAGCATGTTTTGGAGATGAAAAATAGGTCTATTTGTTTGAGATCCTCAGTCAAAAGCATGTCCTCCCAGCACGCTCAAACCCTCCTTCTGCATCCCTTGCCCCAGAGGATTGTCGATTCTCCCGCAAGCTCCAAGAGCAGGCAGCTGTCCTGCTCCTCCCGGGGCTGAGGGATCCCAGGGCACCCCCGGCTCTCCTGACAAGGGCGGCGAACTCACCGCTCGGGCAGCAGCCGCATGCCGGCCGTGCACAGGATGTACAGCGGCGTCTCCTTGTGCTTCCGCGGCGGGACGTGCGCGGCCGCGAACCGCAGCAGGGGCCGCAGGTACGGCGTGGCCTGCTCGGGGGCTGCCGCGGTCACCGAGATGCCTGGCGGGGAAGGCACCGTGAGCCAGCCCGCCCCGTCTGTGCCGGGGGGCTCGGGGCCGGAGAGGGGCAGCACGCACCGGGTTTAATTTTCTTGACGACGGGGCGGCTGCTGCGGTCCCTCATCTGCCGGATGTCCAGCAGGTCGTGGGGGTTCCCGTTGTGCGGAGGCCAGAAGTAGACGAAAACGCGGGACCCGCTGCTCCCGCAGTCCACTACCACCCCGTAATTAAGGGACGAGTCCTCGGTGTCCGTGGCCGTCAGCTCCTCCGCCCGCGCCAGGTACCTGCAGCACGGCGGCACGGCTGCTCAGCACCGGCGGCTTAGCACCGGCGGCGGCCGTGACCCCGCTCCCGGCAGCCCGGTCCCCGCTCACCTCTCGTCCCGCCGGGAGGCGCGGGGCGGCGCGGCCCAGCGGCGGGGCACGGCGGCCGCCAGCAGCAGCAGCAGCCCCAAAAGGAGAGCGAGCCCCAGCACAGCCGGCCGCTGCCGCGGCCCCGGGCACGGTCCCACCGAGCGCCATGACAGGCAGAAAACGCCGACCCTGAGGGCAGAGACCACTGTTGAGCACCGGCACCGCGCCGGCCCCGGCCCCGAACCCCCGGCGCGGCCGCACTCACCTGGCCATGTGCGCCCGCTGCCGCCCGCCAGCGCATCGCCGCTGCGGGCACCGCCGCCGGCACCGGCGGACACGTCACCGGCCGCCGCCGCCGCCGCGCCCCGCCGGCGGAGCCCCGCCCCCCGCGCCACGGCGGCCAATCGGCTCTGCCCGCCCTGCTGGAGCCACGCCCATGCTGCCCGACGGCCAATCGTAGTGGGCGGAACGCGCCCCCACTCGCGCGGGCGGAGGCGGTGCCCGGCTTCGCCCTTGCTCCCGCGTCCGACCTTCGCCGGGAGGCGGCGCGCGCAGGCTGCCAGCCAATCGCGGGCGCCCAAATACACAGCGCGCTCCGACGTCCGGAGTGGCGGACTCGCCCGCCAATGGCGGCTCTTCAGTCCCCCGGAGAGGCGGGGCGAGAGGGCCAAAGGTCGCGGGCGCGCCGGCCAATGTACTGCGCGGTAGGGCGGGGCGCGAAGTTGAGACAGCCAATGGGCTGTGAGGGCCGGCAGGGCGAGCAGTCTCGGCGGCCAATGGGCAGCGCGCCCGAACGCGCCAGAGAAAGCGGCCGGCCAGTGGCGGCGCCCGAGCCGCGGCGCCGGTGGCCAATTAGCGCAGTGTGCGTGGGCGGTGCGCGGCCCGCCTAGCCAATGGGCGCGCTTCAGGGGCGGGCGCCGGCCGGCGGCGGCCAATGGGCATCAGGGAGGGGCGGGGCGGCGCGGGGCGCGGCGGGCGCGGGCCGGGGCGGCGGCGGCGGCGGCGGCGGCGCGATGGAGCTGGGGGCGGGAGCGGGGGCGGGCGCGGGCCCCGGCGCGCGGGGCGGCGCGGAGTCGGGCCGCGTCCTGCTGCTGCTGATGGGCGGCGGCGGCGCGGGCCGGGCGCGGCGGGGCGGCGCGGAGACGGAGGTGGCGCCGGGTCCCGGTCCCGGCCCGGGGGGCCCCGAGCCGCGCTCCCCGCCCGCCCCCGACTACGAGGCGCTGCCGCAGGGCGCCGCCGTGTCCACGCACATGCTGGCGGGCGCCGTGGCCGGCGTCATGGAGCACTGCGTGATGTACCCCATCGACTGCGTCAAGGTGCCGGCGGCGCGCGGGCGCGGGGAGGGAGGGGGGGCCGGCGCGTCCCACCGGGAGCCCCGGGCACGGTCTGACGAGCCGCACGGCCGGGCCCGCCCTGTTTTGCAGACGCGGATGCAGAGCCTGCAGCCGGAGCCCGCCGCTCGCTACCGGAACGTGCTGGAGGCCCTGTGGCGCATCGCCCGCACCGAGGGCGTCTGGCGGCCCATGCGCGGCCTGAACATCACGGCCACCGGCGCCGGGCCGGCTCACGCCCTCTACTTCGCCTGCTACGAAAAGTTAAAAAAGACGCTGAGCGACGTTATCCACGCGGGGGGCAATAGCCATGTGGCCAACGGTACCGGCCCCGCCAGGCCCGGGGGGGAGCGGGGTGGGAGCGGCCCGTGTGGCGGTACGGAGGTCCCGCCGCGGGTTCGGGGTGCCGCGGATGTCCTAAAGCCCTGTGCTCTCTCCAGCCATGAGCCAGCCGCACGGTGCCGGGCACGGGGACGCTCCGCGCCGCGCCTGCCAGAGCTGCTGCCAGGTCTGGCCTGAAGCAGGTCGGTGGCCCTGGCTCGGGAGGATGCCGGTGGACGGGAGCTGCCTGCAGACAAGCTGGGACTGGCCGTGGCCCCGTGGGTCGGCAGTGCCAGAGCTCGCCCCAGGAGTGCCATGTGGTTTCGGAGCCCGTCTCGCCATGGTGCCCATTACCCTTCTCCAGGACCCGCCACAGTAGGGGGAGCATGGGGCTGAGGGGAGAGCAGGGCACGTTCCGCCCCTGGCAGGCGTGCAGCAGAGTGCCAGCGGGACATGGGGACACTCACCATGAGCCTCCCTGCCAGCTGGGGCATTGCCCTGTCCCCCAAAGAGTGGGCACAAATGAGTCCCAGTCAGCCCATGGGACATGGAAGCCTGTCACAATCTTCCCCCTCTCTATCTCACTCTGGGTGGGAACCCCTGAGGACCAGCATGCCTTTTGGAAGGGACATGGAGGCTGCCTTCAGATCTCACCTTTTTCATGGGCCTCCTCCTGTGCCTTGGCCAGGGACTTGGGGCTGTGCTGGAGTCCCAGGGTCCCTCACCTTTCCCCCCCTCACATGTGGCAGTTCTTGTTTTGCAGGTGCAGCCGGGTGTGTAGCAACGTTGCTCCACGATGCAGCCATGAACCCTGCTGAAGGTAATGATGGTCTTGGCCTGCTGGGGAGGGACAGTCAGGGTCTGCCCGAGCTTCTTGGGTCCCCTCTGTAGCACAGAGAGTGCTCTTGTTCTTGCCTGACTGCAGGGGTTCTTTGGGGGCCCATGGCTCCAGTTAGGGACCCTGGTGGCTGCCTGTTGTGGGCAGGGTGGGTAGAAGAGATTAACTCGGGAACACAGCCAACCACGGTTCAGGAGGAGCTGGGAGGGAGGGCATGGGCTTTTCATCCAGGAGTTTGGCTGGGGACTGTAACCTGGAGCAGGAGAGAAGGGAAGAGAGATGTGATGGGCACTGCCAAAGTCATTCTGAGTGTGTGGAAGCTGGGCACTGCTGTATTGAGATCTAGGGAAGAGGTGGTACAGTCATGGGCCTGTGTTCAAGAGAAAGATTAAAAGAGTGGGGTATAAAAATGTGCTAGACAAGTTGGGAGAAGGGAGATCTTCTGAAATGTCTGGAAGATGCTGATTTTGATGAGCCTGGTATATATGAAAGAGGTATAGGGAGTTAGTAATTTTACTGAGTCCGTGGAAGTGGTGGGAGAAGGAGAAACAATGAGGAAAGGCCAGTCATGAAAGTATTTTTCCCTTTTAAACTGGAGGGCTTGTGATAGTGCAGGCTCCAGCTGGTGTGGGCACAGATCCTGCCTCCCCACTGCATGACAGGGACCCTGAGGAGCAGGCAGCTGCCAGAGCATTGTCATGGAGCTCCTCTTGTCATGACTGTAGTAGTTCAGCAGTTTTCAGCTCCTTATGGTCACATTGAGATAGGGGGAGGTAGAACAGTGGCAGGCTGTGCTCTGGACTTCCCTGTCCCACTCTTGGATGGTTTAGGGGGGTTTGGCTCTCAACCTTGCCCAGAGTGGCTGCATTTTGGCAGTAGCTGCTAACAGTTCCTGGCTAGTGGGCTCTGCAATGAGCTGTGGTTATTCTCGGCTGCAGTGGGGGTGGCAGGGGGGGGGACAGTCTTATCCAGATGAAGAGTTCTCTGGGAAATAAGAGACTGGATGCCAGGGGGTTCTTCTGACTGACTGATAGCTCTGCAGCAGTGGATGGGGAAACACTGGTTGCTCAGGAGCAAGGGTGGATCTGGACTGTAAGCAATGGGATATCAGGATATTCCCTGAGGCTGTGGCATGTGAGTGGTGATGTCTGTGTGGCAGCGATGCCTCAGCAGATTTAAACAGCTGGTGTCCTGTCTGGAGACCCGTGGGCACCGGTGGTTTGAGTTGTCTCTCTTCAGCTCTTAGGCCAGTGTCACCAAACTCCAAGCAGTTGGAGGAAGCCTGGCTTTGTGTTTACCCTTCTCTCTCCTCTCCCCCTCCGTGCCTGGGTGCTGGTTGCCGCTGCCTATCCCAAGTGGTGAAGCAGAGGATGCAGATGTACAACTCCCCTTACCAGCACGTGATGGACTGTGTGCGGGCTGTGTGGCGCAACGAAGGGGCCGGGGCTTTCTACCGCAGCTACACCACCCAGCTCACCATGAACATCCCCTTCCAAGCCATTCACTTCATGACCTATGAGTTCCTGCAAGAGCAGCTCAACCCCCACAGACAGTACAACCCAGGCTCCCATGTGGTCTCTGGAGCCTGCGCGGGGGCCGTCGCTGCTGCCGCCACGACGCCTTTGGACGTTTGCAAAACGCTGCTCAACACCCAGGAGTCCCTGGCCTTGAGCTCCAACATCAGCGGACACATCACAGGCATGGCTAATGCCTTCAGGACGGTGTACCAGGTGGGCGGTGTGCCCGCCTACTTCAGAGGGGTCCAGGCCAGAGTCATCTTTCAGATGCCCTCGACGGCAATTGCCTGGTCCGTGTACGAGTTCTTCAAATACATCCTCACCAAGCGCCAGGAGGAGCGTCGGGCTGGCAAGTGATGCAGAGCCAAACGCCGTTCCAGACCCGTCTCACATCCCCTCCTGGTGTGTCTTCTGACCCCTCTCCCCTTTGGTTTGGTTTGTGTTGAAGAGAGGGGGCAGCGAAGCCCTTTGGGGTTTAGCGATGCCGTTTTTGCCTGTGGCTGTGGCAGCCCTGCCCAGGCTGCACAGCTTGCTCTCTGCTGGGCTCCTCCAAGATCCCATGGGAGCTGCAGCCCAGGTCACCTGCCCTGGCACTTTGGTGGAGCTGTGCTCCCGATTTCCCTTAACCACAGCATCTCACGCAAAACTCAGCCCTGCTCAGAGGGAAGGTGAATGTGCTGCCCTTCCCCTGGCGGGGCCAAGCTGAGCTCGCAGTCACCGAGGAGGGGGTGGCAGCGGGGTGCTGGGGGCTTTGTCTGGCTTTTGGCTGAAGCACAGTGTAAGTCTGGCCGTTGTCTCGTAGCACGCACACGTGATGCTGGCTGCCCCCGTGGTGGTGGTGGTGGTGGTGGTGGTGGGCGAGGGGAGGATGGCACTTGAGGAGGGAGCCTGTAGGTTTGTTCTTGTTCCTGCTCTTGACACCTCCAATAAAAACAGTTCTGCTCTATCCTCATGTCCCATTCTTACCTCCAGCATGGCCCAGCTGCCAGCACTGTGCCTTTCTGACTGTGCCTGGTGCTGAGCTCTTCTGATGGATGCCAGAGCAGGGGAGGGGGGAGCAGTCTGGGGGTGGTGGTGGGAGAAGGGGGGCCTGTCTGGCCCAGTCACCCTGGCAGCTGCAGGGATAAGGGTGCCCCCATCCCCTCTGCCTCATGGTCCATCACTGAGATTTATGTTCTGTGGCAAAGTAGTTCCACACCCTCAGTCTGACTGGTGGTCCTCAGGATTCTTCCAAATTGCTCCAAATGGGAGATGCTGGCAGGAGGGGTTGTGTGTCAGGACCAGCACAGGAATTTGGTGCTGAGTGAAGCTGGTAGGCTTTGTGCACCTCGTATAGGAGATTTGGGGCTTGGCAGAGCTTTTGCCCTGTAAGTTTGAGTAATTAGACTGGTTTGATGCTTGATGAGTGTCTCAAAATTGCTCAGTGCTGATGTCTTTTCCAATCTAGTGGTAATTAGTAGAATAATTTTTTTTAGCATGATAGTTGTCTTGATACCAGTTTATTTTAGGGTCCCACCCAACTGTGGAGCTGTGAGCTGAGCACTAAAGTATTGCCTCATAGTGCTGACCTGCCCAGAGCAGATCTCTGGGTTTCTTGAACAAGGTGCTCATGGGTGATGCCTGAACTCTCCCAGTGCTTTCAGGTGTGGCATGTGTCCCACGGAGGCATGCCCAAAAAATAATTCCCTGGAGGAAATGCATTCACTGCTGTGGTATGTGCTGCCAGTGGGTATCTGGGTCAGATCAGAGCTGCTCCAGAGGATCTGCTGGCCTGACCTGCCCAGAAGACTGCTGGAGTGGGCTGTGGTGAGGACAGAGGGGATTTCCTGTGGCTGGAAAAGCTGCTGGGTGAGCAGGGAGGATGTGCTGCCCTCAGTGGCTTTGGGCTCCACCAGAGCTTGATGAAAGGGACGCCTGCACTCCAGGGCTGGGTGCTTGACACCCTGCCCAAGCCCCTGCCCAGCCCTGCATCCACCTTTCCCTTACACATCTCTCTTGCCCTGGTTCCTCGAGGTGGTGAGGGAAGCTGAATGACCACCTGTGGGATTTTTGATGTCTGCCTGGCAGGTCTGGGTGTCCCTGGCACAGAGCAGCCACAGCCACTGCTCTGCAGCCTGGGTCCTCCTGGTTGTGTGCTGTGCCCATCCTCTGCTCCCTGGCATGGGCTGCAAGCTCCTGGTCCCTGCTTTTTCTGCACAAGCAGAAGGATGAGGAACTCCTTAAAGACAAAAAAGCTGCAGGAGGTCAGGAAATTGAAGTTTTCCCACTATTTCAGGAGGTGAGACTTTAAGAAATAGTCTGAGTATTGCAAGATTTGGCAGCCCTGCAGCTCCTCCACCCAAGGGGGAGAAGCAGAGATGGCTGGGAGAGACCAGAGCAGGATTGGGTTGGAGGGCAGGGCATTAGAAAGGAGTGTGCAGAAGATGGGTACAACTGGGCTTTGCCAGGACCGGTCTGTGCCCAGGAGCTGAAAGCTGTTGGCAGCAGAGCTGCAGCTTTGCCTTTAGCCATGCACTGGGGTAATGACAAAGCCTGTGGAGGGAAAGGCATAAACAGACTGGGGCTGGGGGAAGATTCACACTGTTAAATCCATCAGCTGCTGGAAGAAGCTCTATAAATGTCAGTGGATGAAGGCATGATTGAAAGTGTCTCTAGGATGTTTTCCAGGAATAACAACCCACAGAAGTGCTGGGGAGGGAGTGAGACCCCCAGGAACAGGGAGATGATAAGTCAGCACAGCCCAGAAGTGCTGCTGTGTGAGCACTTGGCCTAAAGCATTCCCCTGGCAAGGGCACAGCCTTTCTGCTCTCACACAGGCGCTGTGCCAGCCTGCCCAGCAGCAGCTGGGTGTTTCACAGGGCAGGCAGCAGCAGCCCTGCAGGGAATGGCACTGCCTGCTCTGGGCTTGGCACTGCAGGGACAGTAGAGCTGCCGTGGGGATTCCCAGATATCCCTTGGGCCAGGCCACAGTGGACAGGAGAAATGTCCTCCTGCTGCCATGTCTGAGCTGAATGCCTGACACAAGCTAAGGGCTGGCCGTGGCCGTTTGCTGCCCAGCTCTGCCAGGGTGGGGGTGTTCTCTTGCCAGACAGACTGGTTCCTCTGGCACCTTTGGCATGATGAGGTGCCTGGAGGCAATGGAGTTATTGGCTGGTTCAGCTGCTGTCTTTCCAAGGTCTGATAATGCCTTTCAGTGTAGCCACACTGCTCTGGGTCTGTCCTATGGCCTCCTAGGTATTTGGCTGTGCTTCGAGGGAGATCTCTCCTCCTACAGCCTCTTCTGAGTAAAGAGACTATTTTTGGCTTTCCAGCAAGGAAGCAATGCTCAGCCCAGCAGAGTTTTGGAGACAATCCCTTTTCCTTTCCCTCCGTGCAGGATCCCCAGCCACATCCAGCACGGGCAGGGGTTTGCTGCCTTGCCTTCCTGTGTCCAGCTGCCCCTTGAGCCCTGTCCTGGTGTGTTCTGTGTGGGGAGAGCCCTGCAGCCCCTGACCAGGCAGACCAAGCACCACTGGCCTGGCCCTACTCCAGGTGACAGGTCTGGGGCTGTGCTATGGCACAAGCCCAAACTATTTCAGGCAGCCTTGAGGTTGCTGTGCCAGGAGCAGCTCAGGAGCCCCCAGCTGCCTTCCTGGGGTAACTGGAGATGGCTGCACCCCTGCAGGTTAAGGGCAGAGCTGGCGTGAGGGAAGCTGGGGGCTGAGGGTTCATCTTACTCAGAGAAAGAAGGGGGGAGATCTCTCCAGTGTCTGTCCTGTACCTTCAGCTGGGGTCAGTGGGCTCCTGAGCTGCTCCTGCCTTGGTGACCCCACACAGGCACCGGGGTCCCTGTGCTCAGAGGGTTTTGTCAGCCCAGCTCAGGGGCAGGCAGGGGGGCAGGAGCACTGCCCTGGAAACCACATCCCTGTGCTCTGCCAGCACCCTGGGCTGCCCCTGGGCTTTCCTGCCCCACAGCCCCTCTGCAGTGGGTGCCTGACAGCCCTGCCCGGTGGGAGGAGGTGGCTGGAGCCCATGGGGAGCACAGAGATGGGCTCCCAGCCTCCCTGCAGCCCCAGCCTACCCTGGCTCTGGGATTCCTCAGGGCTGTGTCAGACCCCAATAAAGCTGTACGAGTTCTCATGACCTCCCGGCCTCGCAGCAGTGCTGAACACAAGCACTGGGGCTCCTGGACACAGAGCAGACATTGCCTCTGGTGGGCTGGGAAAGCCCCTCCTGACCCACATCACTGCCTGGCAGAGGCATCTCCGGGCTGGGCTGGTCCCAGCCTGCCTGGCTCTGTCCAAGCATGGACAGGGAATAGCCTGAAAGGCTATCTCCCTTTCTAGGCAGGGAATATACCCTGAAAGGCAGAGCTGAGGCTGGAAACCTTCTTTCCTGTCTACAGAGAACCACTAGAAGAAGCAATCCCCTAGGCTGGGCTGGGACAGTTCTGGGCATGTTTGCTCTGATGGGAAGATTCTGGGTGAACACCCATACTTGGTGCAGGCTTCTGCGTCACATTCCCCCAACAAGGGACAGCAACGTGGCATCCTGGCTGGAACTGGGGTGTGGGCAGATGGCCTGTTGCACTGGGGAGGTGACAGAAGTGGGGAAGGAACTGTTCCTGGGCTGGATGGGAGTGGCACAGAGGTGGCAGCAGGAGTCACTCTTGCAAGCATCCTCACATGGGTGAGGTCAGCTCAGCCACGCTGTGACACTGGAGCTTGGTCTGAGATCATCCTCAAAAGCAGCTGAAGCAATGGCTGTTCCAGGGGATTGCTGGAGGCTTCAGCCCTAATCTCCCTGGCCCAGCATGTCTGCAGATATTGCACTGGCAGCCAGAGTCAGCCCCAGAGAAAGCCTGCAATGCCCCCCGGGGCAATACAGCTTTGGGACTGACGTAGGAAACTCCTGGCACGGCTAGGTGGGTGCCAGGAGGAATGGAAATCCAAGCACCTTTGGATGTGCGTAGACCTGAGCAGTGTCACCTGGAGCATTGCCAAGGGCTATAAAAAAGGTGGGGAACTGGGCCAAAACTGGGCTGTGCCTCAGTGTGGGACACAGCTCCCTCTGGTGAGGATGCAGCTGCGACAGGCACCGGGCGCTGGACACCTCCAGTCATCCTGCGTCCTTGGGCAGGAACGTGCTGGGAGGAGTCGCCAAGCAGTGTCGGGGCATCAGGAATTTTAGGGGGGCTCCTGTAATTAGGTGAATTGCATTATTTTGGGGCAAAAAAAAAAAAATATCAGAGCTGAAAATCTGCTGGGTCTCACAGAGACTGGGTGCTCCTGCTCACCTAAAGAACACAGCAAAGCATTGCTCACTAGCAAGGGAGCCGCACGGTGCCCAGAGAAGGGAAGGGACACCGGCCTTGTCCCCAGCTCCCCTCGCGGCGGGCACGGGTGGGTGCCCTTGCAGGTGATGCTGCCCGGTGCAGCAAGGCTCCCGCGGCGCTCGGGATCCCGCAGCTCCCGCAGGGCCGTGCCGTGGGCACACACCGCCTGCCCGGAGCCCACGAACCCGGCCCAGCCTTCCCTTGTCCGCTGTGTCCCGCTGCCCCCGCCCCGAGGCTCTCCGAGCCTTGTAGGGGAACCCGGGCAGCCCAAAGCGAGCCCAGCCCCGCTGCAGGAGCTCCGCGGGACGGCGGGGACAGGACGGGGTCTGTCACTGCCTGTCCCCGGGCGCTGGCCGATAGATGGCGGTGGCGTATCTCGCTTGGGGACAGGCCCCGGGAGCAAGTGTCCCTGGCCCTCCTGGCAGCCCGGGGGGACCGGAGCATCCCGGGCAGCACCCGGGACCCCGCTGGCCCCGGCACTGCCCGCCTGCAGCAGCGCCGGGCGCGG